TTTTTTATAGCTTCCAGAGTCCAATCGTAACAATATGACCAAATCTTCAAATAGAGGAGCCAATGTAGCTGTGCGAAACAAAGCAGTAGAAGCAACTCCTTTACAATTACCGAGTGACAAAGCAAAGAATCAAAGGATGCCTAAGAATGAAAACAAATCGGCTCTTGTATGTCAGCCTACACAAGCTCCAAGCCCTGAAAGTTCTGGAAAACGAGATGAGCTCAAAAAAGCTGTTCGTGTAAGTCTCTCAAATGCAACAAAGTGCTTTAACAAAGCGTTTTCGAAATCTATGGATTCGATATCGCATAAAGTATGCCGCACTGAACGAATTGCTCTTGCAGGATACTGGAGCAGATCAAACAAAGCCAAGTGGAGAAGGGAAGAGAGTAGTGAGAATAGGAATCTAAAATTTAGAGCAGTATTTATTGCCAAGATATTATCATGAGCGCTTTTTCAGAGAAAAAGGATGTCACTGTTGGCTCGATTGAGACCGTCACGTATGTTAATGGGTGGACCAAAAGAGAAGTACGTTATCATCTTTTTCATTTGTTGTTTTTTAAACTGGTTTGTAATATGTAGAGCTAAAGCAGCTGACACAAGAAAAGAATCCAATCAACAAGTCGGTAACGATAAAGAAGAAGTTAGAAAGCGGTGTTCAATGGGCGGCAAGATTTCTGCAGAAGAGGAATCAGATACTTTAAAAGGCGTAACAAGTATAGACAATGAAGAGGAGAAATCAAAAAATGCGAAGTTGGCGGTTATGCCGCAGGCTGAAGCTCAAGCTTGCCTTGTTAAGTGATCGAAATAGTGCTAAAAATATCATATTTATACTAAAGTAACCTGAACTGTATGTCTACTTTACAATCTATCCTTTTTCAACTGTAATAAATATTTTATTTAAAGTTGGCAGTTTTTCAGGTTTGCAAGCTCCAACCATTATAGCGTTAGCACTTAGAGAGCTATAAGTACGGCTCTAAATTCAGGCCTAAGACTAACAAAAAGTAGAAAAAAACAATGCAAACGGTAAGCTTGATTTAAATAACAAATTAGAAAAAAACATTCTATGTTATTACCAAGAAAGCTGACCTACAGCTATCAAAATAGAATATACCAGTTAAATGACGCGACTTCTAAATGAATTTGCGTAGGCTCATAAACTGAATATTCTTTGCGATAGAGAAATCTTCAGAAAAGGCGTGGGACCTCTGCAACGCTCGAAAGTTGTAATTAAACAATATTGACTTGTAAGAACTAAGCAGCGGCTTCTGACCACATGAGGCTGAAATTTTGGTGCGTATATTCAGGATTTTTTTGAGACACTTATACTGTCTATTTGGTATCCCAAGGTGACAAGAGTTGACTCTTTCATGTTGTATTAAAATTCATGAAAGAAGTAATCGTCATATTATAGCATATTCTTATATGAATGCTGAAACCGTACAAGCTACCGCTTCCCAAATACATGGGTGTTATGTTCCATAAATCATAGATTAAGATTATAGTAGTAGATTGATGTCCGTAAAGCTTCCGCGCTAGAATTTTCATTAAGATCCGCACACATATTTTTTTTAGATAACCCTCTCTTATAGACGTCGGTTCTACTCGTTCTCTCAAAG